AAAATTATTTGGTAGTCTAACATTTAGACGCTTAAAATAGAATCTTGGGGATCATCTTGTCCAACCCCTTCATTTTATAGATGGGAAGACTGAAGCCCAGAGAAAGCAATGACTTGCCCCCAGATACCTAGCAAGTTAGTAGAAGACTAGAATATAGACATCCTGATGCCCTGAATATAAGTAACTAATTCTATACCAATCATTGGTTGGGAATTCCAGGCTGCATGGTACAAGAGGGGCCTGACATATGCTGATCTGTCAGAATGCCTGATAACATTTGTCAGGGAAATAATTAGTTAAAATTATATGAGAATGGTTCTCTACCATTTTCCATTTATGTATGATCTCTGTACTGTACTCTTCAGTAAACATGTAGTGAGCACCTGCTGTGTGCCCTGTTCTATACTAGATACTTCAGATTACAGCCAGGTAAGACATGGACTCTGCCCTCAAGTTGCTCACAGTCTTGTAGAGAACAAGAAATCCCCAAAAGCATGATGCAGAATTAGAATGCTGTTATCTTTCCTAACTAAATCTTGATGCAAGTGAATCTTTACCCAAAGATCTAGCTTTTCTCTTGATTGTGGTTTATTAAGAATCCTATAAAAGATAGGATTTATAAAACATTCCTTTTATGAAAGTGCAAGATATTCTCAACTGCAATGAACTTTAGTTCAGTAACACTTATTGAGGATCTGCTATCCGCAAGGCACTGTGCTAGACATATAGGGATATGAAAATTGACTAAAGCATATAACATGCATTTTAGTATGTCAGCAATATTGTTTCATAATTTTTAAACTTTGTAATGAGATTTTCAGTAATTATTCTTAAAGATGTGGGGCCCTTGAACTAGACGACAATACCTCTGTACTCAAATCCAGACTTGTCAACCTAGAATTTCGAAATCTCCATTCAAATCCTCTTTTGTACCCCATATCTGTTTTGAGCTTTCCTTTTCCTTTACCTCAGCCAAGCCAGCCTGCTTGCCAGTCCCTGCATACAACTAACTCTTGCTTCTGTGCCTTTGCTTGACTAATTCTTCTGCTTCTGGGTTCTCTCTCTCCCCGTGAATCCATGTCCGTCACCACCGTTACAGTCTGGCCCTGAGTCCATCTCCTGCAGGAGCCTGTGACCAGCGTGTCCCTCCCACATGTGCATAGCCCATATGACTGGTGGAATAACATTTCTGTGGTTTTCATTAAAGCTTCTCATTCTGTGTCTACATCTTGCTGATCTAGTTACAACAGATCTTATTAAATCAAACAGTCCAGTGTAACCAGACCTTTTAGGAATGAGACTATGTCAAAGATTTCATTTTGGCATTTGTGGGCTATTAGTTACATATGATAGCGAGGGAAAAGATCAGAAATACTCAGGTGAGGATTTGGGAAGCCTGGGGTCCATAAGAGCAAACAGTCACATCTCCGTAAGTGAGCCTCTCTCTTCCACTCCCAAACAGGACAAGAATTCTCCACTTGAAAGAAATTGCAAATAGAGTAAGGGTGTGCCAAACTGTCAAGCTCAGGAAAGCAGGGCTCTGCCTGTTAATCATCTTAAGCTTGTTAATCTGCTGTTCTGTAATTCTTTTAATATTGTTTAATGTGTGTGTGTTTTATCTTCTGAACTGACTAAAAGCTTCCTGAGGACAGGGACCATGTCTTTTATTTGCTTCTGCATATTTTTCTGACTTATTCCCAAAGAGTGCCCTTAGAAGCATGGGGAAACCGCCCCTAAGTACATATGAATAGGAAATGCATTTTGGGGGTTCCAGTTACATTCCAGCCACTGCACTGGGCACAATGAACTTTGACCTCATGACCACACAATTCTATAAAACAAAAAATTGAAGTTCAGAGAGCTATAGGTGTCACTGCTAGTGAGTGGTGGGGATCCAGGATCTAAATGTCTTTTCACTGTGCCACAGTAACAATAACTGATATTTAGGACTCCCTTGCAGGCCACAGAGCTCTCCCATCTACTTTGTTGTTACTCCTTACTGGATCACTGGGAAGTAGGCAGAGCTAGTATCATAATCCCCACTTCACAGCCGGGGACGATGAGACTCCCAGGACTTACCCAAGCTCACATAATTCACAGTGGAAGAACTAAGACTTCAAACAGATTTTTTTATCCTTACTGCCGTATCACACTGCTGCCTTAACTCATTTGCACAGTTGGATGAGTACGTGGCTACTTATCACTGTCAGTAAGTTCTGGCAGTCCCTAGAGCCCTGTGGAAAGGAAAATAATTTGTGCCCACAGAAGAGCTTCCATGTTAATAGAAGGGTGTTACAAATACATGCTTGGTAAGTAGAAATTAACATATCTTAGGAAGTTTATTCTGTAGCTAAAATCCCGTCATTTGGCCATAAAACTTACGTAATGCCTTTCGGTATTTCTATTATAAAAGTACACTAAGGAGGAGGAGGGATGAAACTATTGGACTTGATTCGAAACTGTTCCTCACGGGTTTGGATGAGAAAGCGCTAGCTACTTAGTCCACACCGGTGGCTACCCCAGTGTCTGTTATCGAAGAGACGCGGTGGTGCTAGGGCGGTGTCTTGTCCACCGAGCAGTTCATCACCGTCTTGGGAGAACTCCCCTGTCCCATCTGCCACCCCTACTCTGCCTGGCCGTCCCTGCCCTTCTCCTCTACCCCACTTTATTCGGCCATCAGCCCACCGACCTCTGTAGACCTTGGAACTCTTAATGTTTCATTCCCGATAGGCGGTCTCCTTCTCCTTTTGTATCAGTTATTCGCTAAGTGTCCAGTACCACAAAACCCTTCCGTACAGCCAGTTAGAACCAGGAAATTCTTATAAAGATGGGAGGTGCATAGCCATGCCAGAAAGATATTTTAATGGAAACAGACTGTTTCTAGCTCTTTACTAACCATTTCTATCTGGTTGTCATGCAAGGACAAGCTCTTCATGTCCTGAAAGAGAGCAGCCTCTCCCCATCAGACTGCTCCCTCTCTGGGTTCTTCCTCCAGCCAATGGTATCACCATCCACTGGTCTTGGGCAGAAGCCACGGGCCACTCTGCTCCTGACTCATCCCCCAGAGCTCCCCCGCCCTTTCAGTAGACCACAGATCTACCTCAGCCACGTTGTCTTTTCTTCCCACAGCCATAATCCAGCTTTGCCTCATCTCCTGTACATACACTGTTAAGTTTCCTCCCATGCAGTGTGTCTCCCACACAGCTGCCAAAGGTTACTCCCTGTAACACAGACCTGATCGCACATTCTTTCTAGGGTACACCCAAGCGCCCAACCTGGCATTTAAGATACTTGACTAGAGATCCCAAACTACCCTTGTAGCATTACTTCCTGCCACTCCTTCATCGACCCTCACCTCTTCCCCAAGCACTAGGCCCAGTGCTTAGTGAGCCCCATCACAGCTTAATGATTGCACAGAGACAGAAAACTGACACAGTCCAAGGACAGGTTACAAAATCACACCAGTGCATGGGACCATACTGCGCCCTTTACTCAGTCTCTTTTTGAAGTTCTCTGGGCCACAGTTTGGTCTGTGCTCATCTGAGGAGCTACCTGTTCTTTGCTCATGATGCTATTATAGCACAACTTATTATTCCATTATATTGAATGTTTGTTTTACCTGATCCTCACGGGCAGCCTAACTCTGCCACAAGATATGTGACCTTGGGTAAGTCACTCAGTCTCCTTCATTAAATGAGGGGGTTGGACTAAATGATCTCTAAGTCCGTTTCACTTTTAAGTTGTATGATTCTGACACCATTTCTTGGATCAATAAACACGTTTCCCACTTTATGACATTCCGGAGGGTCCACTTTTGCTGTCAGCCATTCACATTACTCAAATAGCTGTTTCAGACTATCAAAATCTTCTAGGGCCAGCGAGGAGCCTAATTGGCTCCTGTTGGCTTACCCAGTGACCACTGAACTGTTCTGGCTCCTCCCCAGGATGTTTCACTGTGCCCCTAACACCATCATACTGCTGGGTGGCTGGCCCGTCCCCGGAAGGAGTCCTTTGTGCTGGCCTACGGGCCAGCAGCAAGGAGGCAGAGAGGAAGGGGGTTTTATTATTTCCCTTTGTCCCAGATCCCAAAAACATTGTGGCTGCTATCATGTGGACTCGTGGCTACCCACATGTTTTCAAAGGGTGCTGCCCATTTCTGTGAGAGGAATTTTAAGCAGCTCATCTGCTGCATTAGGGCCACTGTTAAAGTACGCTGCTGACTTGGGGTGGGAGAAGGCCTGGAGCTAGCAGCTCAACAGGTACAGTCGCCATAATCTCCATGTAATAAATAAGAGCCCATGAAAAGATTAAGTAAATCTTCCCTAATGCTTTTTGATTGGCTTAATCAATAATTAATCATCTTTAGATGAGGCTGTAACTTGTGGAGTAGATATAATTGGATTAGCTGAAAAGAGGCAGTTGGGGAGCTTTGAAGAGATTAAAATGGCTGTCGATCCCATAATTAAACTGCCACAAACAAAAGCTATAGTGTTTAGAAGAGAAAAAGGAAAGGCCAACCAATTTGAAATGTATCAGTAAGCACCGGCGGATCACTAGAGAGTGGCGAGGCGAGGTTTCTCCTGGTGGATGAAACGCACATGTATCCTCACACTCCTGGGCCTGGCCCACTGGGCCAGGGGAAATTTTGGCAGCTTCACCTTCACCAAAACAAAAGTCACCCACAGCAGAGGGGAAAGTGAATTACTAAAAACAGAAGAGGCCTGCTCCTCGTCCTGAGCCCACTTAGACCTTGACTTCTCCTACTTTTAATTGGCTTAGGAGGTTCGGCCTGTGTGAGTCAAGTCTTTTATCTCCCTCTTTTTCTTTCCATGCCCCTTTCATCTCTCCTGTTACGAACACACAGAGAGCTGGAGGAAAAATACTTGGGTTTTTAAAGACTTTCTTTTTAAAAGGATGTGGAGTGGGGTGGAGGGAGGGGGTGTGTGTGTGATGCTGGTGAATACTTTTTTTTTTTCTCTCTCTTTTATCTCTTTTTCCAGAGAGGAGTTGCTTAAACCAATGGGACTAAAACCTGATGGGACAATAACGCCTTTGGAGGAAGCACTCAGTCAGTACTCTGTCATCGAAGAGACCAGCTCCGACACGGACTGAAAGCATCACCTGCTCAACTCTCAATATTGCTTTTATCAGCATCTTTTCTCTGTAGCTCCAGGGGAATCTTTTTCTCTAAAACATTTATGCCCTTGCTTTGGCTAGAAACACATTAACTGGTTTACTCATTGAGAATCCAGCATATTTAAGAGGTGATCCTGTGTTTTTGCGATATCGAGGCATTCATTCAGAGCTGCAGTTAGACAGAGCCGCGGGGGCTAGACGCAGAAAAGAATAATTCCATTTCGTCGGGGTGGAACTGAAGGACCTCATTCTGTAAAGCAGCCCTGGTTGAATCTGGCAGTTCTGTTTGCCAAGATTCTTAGCAGAAGATTTAGCGGTGTCCTTCCTCTCACTTTTGTGAGCTGCCCTTTCTGAATCTCTTCAGCAGACAGGGAGGCACAGGAGAAGCAACATGAATTGTTAAGCAAGGGCCGAGGCAAGTTCGATCAGCATTTTTAAATCAGGACTGACTAAATGGAAGCCAAGCAGCTGCTCCATAAACCTAGTCCCGTTCTTCAATTTTGTAAAAGTACACGGGAATGCACACACAAACACACACAGCCCCAGACCTGCAGACTCATGACGCTCTGAGAGTTTGTATGTCGCTTATCTAGAACTTCAGAATACATTTCTCCCTAAAGAGTTATACATGAAGGTTTAGTTCTGAGGCAGCTATAAATGCCTATTTATTCCCTGAATACCTGAACACTAGTACCATAGAACTGAACCCCCTCTGTATCGTTGCCCAGGGAGCATGCATTCTGAGGTCTGGCTCGGGTGCCAGGGAGCACAGGGTCCTCCAACACAGCAGAGAGAGCAGGGGGCTCCCTGAGTATTGGGAGCTCTTCTGTGGTCTCTGCTAAGGTGGGGGAGTCAGCAGCACCCATTTGTACATATAGGTCATTCCTGCATCATCAATTGGGGATGGTGTGTGTGCTTGTATGTGTGTTCTACCTTTCTACCACATGTGATCAGTTTAATGGTAACTTTATTTATTAAAAAAAAGAAACACAAATAGTTACTATTAAACTGATTAAGGTTGTTTTTTATTTTTAGAATTGGACATCCCAAGTAGAAAATGAACCATACACTAGACAGTGGGCCTAGTTAATCAGTGGCTAAAGTTGAAAAGGGGTTGGTTTCCTTTTATGTGTGTGTATGTGTGTGTATATACACATGTAAGTGTGTACAGTTACACGCACATATACACACATAAGACAATGTGCTTAACCACTGCCTTTTAAAACTTTAAATTAAATAAAACATTGGGGTTGATTCAATTTAGCCATTTGTGTGTGTTTCTTTATAGATACATGGGTTAAACCAAACTCTCTCAGTGTATGCTGTTTTACAGTGCTTTTCCCTCCATTCTCTCTTCTTACAATAGCCTTTTTGGGGAGAGGGAAGGTACACGGGGTATTAGTGAGAAGATCATATACCCAGAAGCCGCGCCTCTGGCAAAACAACAAAACAGGAATTGAGCTTTCAAAGGCCTTTAGCTGCCAAAAGAGAGGCCACACAATTTTTGTAACCTACTTGCAGGAGAGCTCCTCAAGAATATCACTTTTGCCTTTTTACTAAAATTTGCATACATTTCTAACATACTTAGATACCTAGTTTCAAGCCCACAACAGGAAAAAACGAACGACAAAGGAGGAGGATTAGGAGGTAGAAGCAAAGCAGCAAAAAGCTAACTGAAAACTGAACAGGAAGAGGGGGAAATAAAGGCAACCTGAGGCACATCTGGGACCCTCTGTTTCCAAAAAGATACTGACCCTGAAAGCTGTACAGAGAAATGGCCCGTAGACTGACTTCTCAGAGTGATGTTCCTGCGTTTCTTTTTAAAAAGAAATTAAATCCAGAGTCTATGAACAGAAAGCTAACGCTTTTTAGGAGTTTCACTCAAAATACCTGGAGACGTTTTGGGTGACCCATGTTTTAACAACAGTACATAGAATGAAATTTTGGCAATTCATAATTTTAGATTAAGTGAAAAAAGTTTAGAAAAGTATTTTTGTTACTTCATTCTACAAATGCATTTTTAAAGTATTTTTATAATTTCTACAGTCGAGTAGCTTTGGCATGACTGTCTGCTTCCCTCCCTGGAGACAAGTCTACGGCCACACCATCTTGCCCGCTTGCTGCCCAGTGAGCGTTTGAACCGTCCTAGCGAACTAGCTGTGCTCTTCCATTTTCAGCGAGTTCCGTCTCATCCTGCGTTTCCCTGCACTGCACGTGAAGTTCTGCTCTTGAAGGGATACTTGGCAGAGCAGAAGAGGAGCGCGACCTCGTCCTGCACGCGGGAAGAGAACGGACATCTGTTGAGTGCGAGCTACAGGCTAGGCTTTGTGTGTGTTCTCTCAGCCCCATCCCATCTCATGTGAGATCATCTCTGGAAAGCGCGCGGGGCCTGACAGGACGCGTCAGAGTGGGACTCGAGTGGACCTGCCTCCCAGCTCCCCTGCCCCCTCACTACATGGCCCACCTAGGCCCCCGGTCTGCCTCAGTGGACTCTGGAAGGCTGGGAGAATTGTAGTTCTCAGGCCATTTTAAGCAATAATTACTTCACCAGAACAGGTTTAAAGAGCTCCTCGGGCAGGGGGGAACCTGGAGTTGACTGTGAATGGGAGACTTGCTCAGTTAGGACTAGATTGCAGGCAGGGCCCGGGGCTCCTCAGGTCGGAAGCCGGGGCGGCGGGCTTCCCCCAGACCTGGGCCTGGCGCTGGCGGCCGGCGGCGGGGAGGGGAAGAGCACCGGCCGCGCAGAGGCCCTGGTGTCCGCGTCCTTCTGACCTTTGAAACAGGATCTGAGGCGTGTGTCCTAAAGTAAGCCACTTGAGCTGCTGCTTTTACAGGAACAATCAACAGGCCTTGGGGCCCTTTCGCACACCCAGTGCTCCCGGGAGGTGGGCGGGAGGGGAGGTTGTCCCTCCTCCAGCGGGCGCCGCGGGCCGAGGTTCGAATCCCAGCTCTCCCGGTACTTCCCGTCAGTCTTGCGGCCGCCCATCCCGACGTCACCTGTGTCCCCTCTCCCCTCCCCCGCAGTATAAAAATAATACTTGTCGTGGAAAGTTCGGAAAAATGCAGAAAATAATAAAGTTAATAACGTGCCCCAAGCCCCACCTCCCTAAGATACTCACTGTAACGTTTTCGTGTATTTCCGTCTTGTGTTTTTCTATGCATATATAATTTATTTTGCTACAAGGTTGGGATCATGCTGTGTTACAGAGTTGTATCCTGCTTTCTTTACCATGTTGTGAGCATCTTCCCATGCCAATAAATATTCTTCAAAAATGAGCGGCTCGAGGATGCTCTGTTACCTGGGTTTGGGTAAAGGCTGCCAGAGCCGTCCTGGCGTTCCTCACCGAGGCGACACCACGGCTGAGGGCGGAGGCTTCGCCGCCCCTGCTGCCTCCGGAGAGGGCCTGAGCCTCAGCCCGAGGGGCAGCCGCCGCACCCCCCGCCCCCCATCTCATCTCGCAGGCGCCTCGCAACACAAGTCCCGGCGCGCGAAGGGCCGGCGAAGGGCCGGAGCGCCTTCCAAGGAGAGGGGTTTGAAAGAGTCCAGATGACGCGTGAAAGTGTGTGTGAGAACAAAAAGGGGGGGCCGAGATGTTTACTGCTGTGCCGTCCAGTGACTGGCACTGGCTTTCTCAGAGCTCTCCGGTTCCAGAGCCGGAGAGGGGGCATGAGGATGGCAAGGAAGCTGTTCTTTTAAGCGGGCAAGGCGCCCCTGTCAGAGCTGCCGGGTGTGTGGTGAGCACAAGATGGGCACGTCCTGTAGATGGGGGAGGGAGAGGTTTTTAACCGCCTAAGAAGATTCGAGAAGAGCATTCTAGAGAGGGCAAGGGAGGGTACAACTCCTACGCACCATGTGGGCCCCCACATCAAGTTTTCAAGAAGCATCAAAGCAGCCTTTCCTAAAGGAGAGAGATGGAGGCACGACGGGGCTCAGGTGTCTGAGGACAGGACGGGCCCACGTGCCTCCAGGGCCGCGGTCATTTGAGTCGTGGGTTTCAGATGAACCCGGTTGAGGAAAACTGTCCCGAGGAGGAATCAAAATGACTCTCCGAAACGTCTGCAATCTCCTAGTTCCTTTCGCTGCAACCCAGCGAAGTGCCTGGGCCATGGGCTCCAGGTGGTTCTGGGTCTCACAGACCTCCGCGTGTTCCGTGTTGAGCGTGACAATCAGCTGTGCACATTCGTTGAGCTTTCAGTGCGCCGGGCACTGCCCCGCACTTCTCAAGCGCTTCTCATTTTGTCTCCACGACAGCCTCGGGAGTAGCTCCCTCCTTACAGCAGAGGAGACTGAGGCATAAAGATGTCACGTGCCGTAAAGCAGAGCCAGCAAGTCACACAATTTGAACTAAAGCCTGTCTGGTGTTTGTGGAAAGACGACACTGTGTTGTTTTTGCAATCTGAGAAAAACGCAACAAAGCCTTATATGGTGGGAAGAAAAAGATTTCAGAGGAGACTGAGTGGAAAAGACACAATTGGGAAAATAATGTGAACATTTTTCTCACTCCATTTCCTCATCTCCACAATACACATGACAGACCCCGCCCCCATTCGGGAGCTATTCTGAGCGCCCCATACTCACAAGCGCACCCATTCATAGCAATTTGTTCAGCAACCATTTACCAGGTTTCTACCTGGGCGCTCGGGGATGCAGCACGACAGTCTATGCCCGCGGCTCCTGCCGCGTGAGAAATCAACACACCGAGCCGACGCGGGGTGCTCTGGGATGACAGGAGGCTCGTGGGGGCTGCACAGCAGCTTCATAGGTGACGTCTGAGCCGAGGGTGAGCTTCCCATGAACAGAAAGCTGTTTCCTACCATGAAGAACTGGCTCAGTACCCAGGCAAAGCGCCCATTACGTGTTTGCAGAACACGAGCAGAGGAACCTGACTAGAACAAGGAGTTCAGGCCAGCTGGGGACACACTGGAAAGATCACCAGGGTTGCCTGCAGAGAACGGACTGGCGAGGGGACCGAGAGGGAGAGCACCTGGAAGGCTGCTGCTGGCCACGTGTGAGGCCTGTAGCAGGCCTGGGCAAGAGAGGGGTAGAGAGGAGGACAGGTGCCCACTTTGCTCAAGTGTTTTCCTAACAATTGAAGAGAGAACACTGCCTAATACATTTGATGATGCCAATATTACCACAATACCAAAACCAGATAAAGATGGCACAAGAAAATTAAATTCAGACCAATATCCCTGAGGAACATTAATGTAAAAATCTTCAACAAAATACTAGCAAGTCAAATCAACAATACATCACAGGGTTACACAACGCGATCAAGTGGGATTTATCCCAGGGATGCGATGATGATGTAAGATGTGTAAAAACAATCAGCGTAACCGATTATATCAACAAAGTAAAGATAAAACTCATAATTTAAATAGATGTAGAGAAAGCAGGGGCCTCCTCTGGTGGAGCAATGGGTTGAGCACAGCGCTGTGAAGCTGTCCACAGCCTCTGCAGCGCCAGTTCAATCCCCGGCCGGCCAGGGAGATTTCCACATGGCGCAGCAGACCTCTCCTGTCTCGCCTGCTGCTCCCCTCAGCAGTGTATTTGGGTCCCTCTGCCTGTTCTGCTCCCCACTCTGTCTCTGGTGGATCCGCTCACCCTCCCGCGCCTCTGGCCTGTACCCCAGTGCTTGTATAAATAAATAAAAATAAATCTTAAAAAAACTGAACAAGATGGGAAAAGGTGAAAACTATCAATATCGTAAAGGTGATGTTACAATACAATCCATGTAATACTTAACGGTATATTACAAAGCTGTACTCAATATGTACTTAAAGGTGGAAAAACGGAAAGCTTTCCCTTAAGATCAGGACCAAGGCAAGGATGGCATCTATATAAAGAATATGAAACCATCAATTAAAAAAATCACATGGGGCCTCCCCGGTGGCGCAGCGGTAGAGCACTGGGTTGCGAAGCTGCCCGCAGCCTCTGCGGCGCCGGTTCGATTCCCGGCTGCTCCCCGGCCACCGGAGGAGGGTCCCACATGGTGCGCAGACCTCTCCTGCCACCCGCTGCTCCCCTCAGCAGTGTACTTCGGTCCTTCTGCCTGCTCTGCTCCCCGCTCTGGGTCCTTCTGCCTGCTCTGCTCCCCGCTCTGGCTCTGGTGAATTCTCTCACCCTCCTGCGCTTCTGACTGTACCCAGTGCATGTATAAACAAAACAAATGAACAAACAAATAAATAAATAAATAAAACATGCCTCTATTAAAAAAAAAAAAAAATCACATGGTCTACAATGTCTAATGCAGCACGGAAGCAGCCTAAATGCCCACCCACAGAAGGTTGGATCAAGATGTCTTACACCCGCGGGATGGAATACTATGCAGCCCTAAAGAAAGGTGAAAGTCAGCAAAGGGAGAGCGTTCAGGGAAATCACAAGTAGTGAATGAGTCAGAATGACAAAGCCAAATACTGGACACCTAAGAACAGACTGACAAAGGAAACAACTCGCGCACGTGAAGGCAGCCAGGGCGCTGCAGTCAAGGGCGGGGAGAAAGGCACGCGAGCATATAAACCCTGGCGGCGGGGAAAGGAACAAGGGAAACACATACAGATGAGAGGACGACGTGTGCACACACACCCCCTCCTGCGTGCACGCCTGCAGGCACACACGCTCCGACACCAAGCAGGCGATTTTGCCAGGAAGGAAGACCCAGAAGAAAGGAGAGGCGGAGGATTCTGTTCGCGGAGTGTTCGGAAAACGGGACTGGCCTGACAGGTCATGGAAACCAACCCCGGGCTGGCTGGACGGCCGAGGAAGGCCAGTCTCTGGGCACAGGCGCGCCACCGCGACGAGGCGGGAGCCCCGCGGGCACGGACAGCCGCGCGTCGGCGGAACACGAGGGAACCGGCATTTTCCGGAGCCCCCGCGACCACGCGCCGGAGCCCGCTGACCAGGGGCGCTTAGCCCGGCCGCTCCGCGCTCGGGGACGGCGAGGAACCGGCCCGAACTCCCCTCCCCGGGCTGACGGCGCTTCACCAGCCGCGGCCGGCGGGATGCCCTGCGAGCTGCAAGTTAAGGTGGGAGACGGCTCCGAGCCACGGTAGCGGTCCTTGCACCTTCAGGCTCTGGGGACCCCGCAGGCAGGAGCAGCCCGGGGTCGTGGCGAGACCCCCGGCGGGACGCGCGGCAGCGGCCGGATTCTCTCCCCGGGCCCCGCGCCGCTGGGGCGCTAACCTGAGTCTCGCCTGACGGGGGAAGCGGGATTCAGGCGAAGCGAAGCAGCCGGGGACGGAGCCTGGGATGTCAGGCGGCTTCTCAGAGCGAGCCTGGGGCTTGGCGGCCCGAGCAGGCGGTGCCGGCCCCGGGCGCGGAGGGGCGCGTGGCCCCGCGGGCTGCGGACTGTCTGCCGGCCGCGCGGGGAACCAGCTCGGGCGCGCCCGGGCGCCTCGGAGGACCCAACGGAGACCGGGAGAGAAGCGGAGACCCCGGGGGTCTCGTTTGGCCACCGAGGCAGACTCCCTAGAGACCCTGCCTGCTGCTGGCCCCGTTCTGTGCCCTGCTGCCCCGCCCTGGCTGTCCAACCGGGCAGGCTCAGCCCTCGGGCTCCTCACGGCGGGGCGGGCCCGGGAAGCAATAACCACAACCAGCGCCGAGCACGTCTGCGGCTGAGCAACGCGCGAAGGAAATGAGAAGGGAGCGACGCGCAGGAGGGGCCGCTCTGTTCTGCCGTGTGCAGTAGGTGCTCAAAGGGTGTCCTCTGGTCCAAGGTCATTTTGTTACCAAATAATCCTGGCCCAAGTCGAACAAAACGACTCTCTTCAAGGTCCCGACTCGGTGTTACGCTGCTTCCCGTGGGGATGTCCAAGAACTTATCGATGCGGCTCTTGAAGCACTTACTGTACTTGACTCGCTCAGAAACTGACGGCGCTGCTGCTGCTGGATCCAGAGTCTAGATATTACCAAGATTACAGGAAATGGAGCTGGGGCCCAGCCAGCTCCCGGAGGCTCAGGAAAGCAAAGTCACGGCATCGCCGGCTTCTTGCACCTCCTGCGTCGCCACAGAGTGGAAGGGATTTTCTGATCAAGTCCTTGCTCGTCTAGGCGGTTTTCAGGGAAGTCAAGGCAGAGGTTTTTTCCCCTAAGTTTGCGCCAAAATGTTTGTGGGTGGGAAAGACCCGTGTTTCCCCTTCCTCTCGCGCTACTGTCACACTCGCAGTCGACACCAGATCCAGGGGGGCTCCCCCCCACAACGCGCAATTCTCCGGGACCAGACATAGGCCCGAAATTCCCTGATCCTCACGCCGTCTCCCTGAGGACAGCACCCAGCCCGCGGGTGA